AGATTGGTTAAAATTTGAATGATTTTTATTAGAAGCAATTATTAATTTTTATATTGAGATACAAATCTTTTTGCACCGACCCATACCCTTTTTTGCAAAAAATTTAGGCATGAAAAAAAGGGGGCATAGCATTAGAGATAGTGTTAATGCGAAAATTACATGTAAAAAAAACTTAATTTAGAACGTCCTATTACAATTTCCTTTATTTTCAATAATTAATTGACAACAACGTGGCATTGAATTTATTAAATTTTTTAATGTATCATTTCATTCCTCCATTATAAATTGTTCCAATTCGTTTAAATTTTGCGGCATTCGTTTTTCTACTTCACGTTAGGTTTTCGATAGGATTTAGGTCCGGACTCGATGACGGCCAATCGATAACTTCGGGTACATTTTCCGCAAGAAATTTCTTAGCTTTACCGCTTGTATGCTTAGAATCGTTATCTTGCTGGAAACGCCACTTTCTCCCAAGCATTTTTAATTTCCCCGACATGTTGCTGCAAAATTTCGACGTAAAAGTCAGCATTCATAATACACTGAAAGCAGAATAAACGAGTTTTTCCCTTCGCGCAGAAGCCACCCCACGCGAAAATTTTTGAACGGTTTTTTGGTATTGGACGGACCGCCCATTTACCCTTATACCAATGATTAATTGTATTTGGAAATAGTTGGAATGCCGTTTCATCGGAAAATAAGGTTTATTTCCGGGGTGACGTTCGGCCCATTGTATATGTTTCTTTTTTTGAACTGCTGTTAACATCGGCGTAGCATTTGGTCGATTTTTTTTATATCCTTTTGATTTTAAATGTCTTCCAATTGTACGATATGAAATGTCTACCTCCTCCATACTTAGTTTAGTAGCAATTTTTCGTAGGGTCATAGAAGTTTTACGAATATATTGACCCACCTTTCTTGATACAGCCGCAGTAATTTTGTTAGGACACCTTTGTGCTGAATTGTTCCAGTTGACTCTAATTTTTTTACATTGTATCGGACAGTTGAGATTGCTAGGCTTGTAAGTCTACTTAATTTTGGCACAGAATGTTTTCTTTTCTTCGAAGGTGGATTGTTCCATCTCTGAGACGGATAATGCAAAAAGGCGTGAATTAATTCTGCATTAAGAATAGCGGAAAATAAAGCTTATCACACGTTATCCATGTTTGGTTCGAATTGGTTACAAAATGAATGACTTTCTATTTGTCAATCGTTGTTTTTTTGTCACCGACTGATATTTGTTCTAAAAATTCAGGAATAGGAATATACCTAATCTTATTGCCTTTTCCGTGTATTTTTAAACTTTTATTGTATATTACCCGTTATGTCCATAGAAATCTTAAACACAGTATCTTCAATAATATTCACTTCAACACTTCAAGGAGAATTTCCAGTAAAAATTATTCGCAAAATTTTGGCATATCTAAATACAAAAAAGTATGAAACCAATACCTTATTTAATCAATTAAAAAAATCAAAAAAAAATAAAGAATATTTTGTACTGCTTGGATTTTTTCATGAATATGGAATCGGAACGAAAATTGATCCTATTGCGGCATTTCAATATTACAAGGTTGGCGCATTGGCAGGTGAATCGAATGCCCAAAGACTTTACGGACGTTGTTGGGAACTCGGAATCGGGACAAAAAGAGATAAGAAACAAGCATTTATTTGGTATCTGAAATCCGCTCAAAGTGGTAATTCAATGGGTCAATATTATCTTGGAACTTGTTATAACGATGGCATCGGAATCAAAAAGGATCCCGATATGGCTTTTCAATGTTATGAAAAAGCATCAAAAAGTGGAAACGTTGCCGCACAATACCTGCTTGGATTCTGTTATATGACTGGCATCGGTACCAAGTACAACATAGGACTTGCAGTTGAATGGTTCAAGAAATCAGCTGAAGGAGGTGATGAAGACGGACAGTTTGAATTAGCACAATGCTATCGATTCGGTGATGGTGTGTTTCGTAATTATCAAATGTCATATTTTTGGTATAAACAGGCAGCTAACGCTGGGCATGCCGGTGCGCTGATTGAATTGGCTAGATGTTATTCCGAGGGACGTGGAACACGACAAAATCATCGAAAAGGTTTTCTTGCTTGGAGAATTTTGGCAAGCTCTAAAAGTATAGGCGCGTATCCTTGGTTGGCGTCAGCATATGAAGCTGGTTGGGGAACGATGAAAGATAGGCATGAAGCTATAAAGTGGTATATAAAGTCTATGAAAAATAATAAGCTGGGTGGAAAAAGTTCAATAAATAATTGTTTGAGAAAGTAAATTTGAAATGCAATGCGATTTTTTACTTTCTTAAGTTCCACATCCAAGTGAAATAATCCATTTAAAAAGTAAGGGCCGGATTCTTCTGTTTATTTTCATATATACTACGAAAATATTTTATTGAAAATTACATATACAATCAGATCTCTATAGTCATCGCACTTGGGAAAGCAAAATTGGATGACTAAAGAGAGGTGTGACTATAAAGAGGTTTTTTTAATTATACATATAATTACACCTCTCTAAGTGCACCCTCCTCGACATACTTTCAATCAAATTTTTTAAATTTCCGGTCCGATTTCATTCCATTCCTCCATCAATTCTCCAGAT